TTTTTTTTTTTAAGGAGAGAGAGAATCCAGCCACCTACTTTTAGAGACTGCGCTTGCTCTCTCGCCCAGGCTGGAGTGCAGCGGGACAATCATAGCTCACTGCAGCCTTGACCTCCCGGACTTAAGCCATCCTCCCACTTCAACCTCCTGAGTAGGTGGGACTACAGGCATGCCACATATCCAGATAATTTCTTTTTAATTTTTTTTATTTTATTTATTTATTTTTGAGATGAAGTCTCACACTGTCGCCCAGGCTGGAGTGCAATGGCACAATCTCGGCTCACTGCAACCTCCGCCTCCCAGGTTCACACAATTCTCCTGCCTCAGCCTCCCAAGTAGCTGAGATTACAGGTGCACACCACCACACCTGGCTAAATTTTTGTATTTTTAGTAGAGACGGGGTTTTGCTATGTAGACCAGACTGGTCTCGAACTCCTGACCTTGTGATCTACCCGCCTCAGCCTCCCCAAATGTTGGAAATAATGGAATCAATTTTTTATGTTTTGTGATGGACTTTCCCTCTTGTTGCCCAGGCTGGAGTGCAATGCCACGATCTCAGCTTGCTGTAACCTCTTCTTCCAAGGTTCAAGTGATTCTCCTGCCTCAGGCTCTCAAGTAGCTGGGATTATAGGCATACACCACCATACTTGGTTAATTTTGCATTTTTAGTTAGTAGAGATGGGGTTTTACCATGTTAGCCAGGCTGATCTCGAACTCCTGACCTTAGGTGATCTACCCGCCTCCACCTCAGCCTCCCAAAGTGTTGGGATTACAGGCGTGAGCCACTGCACCTGGCCTATTTTTACTTTTGGTAGAGACAAGGGCTTGCTACATTGCCCAGGCTGGCCTCAAACTCCTAAATTCAAGTGATCCTCCTACCTCGGCCTTCCGAAGTGTTGGGATTACAGGAGAGAGCCACCGCGCCAGCTCCCCAAACAGTCACCTACTTTTCAAACATCAGCACCAACAGAGGACAGCTTCAGACAAATCCCCAAACATCTTATCCCAAACCTCTAACACACCCTCGCTCCTTCTCTCACATTCTCACACACACACATTCTTCCCTCCTCCCCCACACACATACTCACGGCCTCTTGGGCACAGCCAGGTACTCTGGGATCTCAGATGGACTCCAGTAACCATAAGCCCCCCAGCAAAGGTGCCATGCCATGTAATAGGAGCATCCTTCCAGAGAAAGGGCTCAGAAGAGATCTCCTGCCTCCCGGGGGGTCCACAGCCCCAAACCTCTGAGCAGGAGGGATTTTTCCACCACCAAGCTGGTCGCCTCCAATCCAAAGGTTGTTGCCCCCTCCCTCCTTCTGTCCCAGAAAAAGGCAGGTTCTCACGCAAAGCCCCCAGAGCCAGAGCTTAGCGAGACTCCCCTGGCTCCCAGGGGCTCCGTATAGGCAGTGTGCACAGTCAGTCAACAAACACTCACTAAGCATCACTCAACTCTGAGCCAGCCCTGCTGGATGAAGAGAATCCAAGACAAGCCTGACAGAGCCCACCCTCCCAATTCAAAATCCAAAGACAGGCCCCATCCAAGGTGGCTCCACAGGGAGGTGAAGGCACAGAGGATGGGGGGGGCGTGGCCATGCAGGAAGCGGGAAGGGCGCTGCAGGCAGAAGGTCTGGCACCAGATACCCAGGACTGGCTGGGGCAGGCATCAGGGTGCTGTGAAAGTGACACGGCTGGCTGGGCATGGTGGCTCAGGCCTGCAATCCCAGCACTTCAGGAGGCCGAGGCAAGGCAGATAACTTGAGGTCAGAAATTTGCAACCAGCCTGACCAACATGATGAAACCCAGTCTCTACTAAAAAAAAATACAAAATTAGCTAGGCATGGTGGCGGGTACCTGCGATCCCAGCTACTTAGGAAGCTGAAGCAGGAGAATCACTTGAACCCAGGAGGTGAAGACTGCAGTGAGCTGAGATCGCACTATTGCACTCCAGCCTGGGCAGTAAGAGCGAAACTCCATCACAAAAAAAAAGGAAGAAAAGAAAGTGCCAGATGCGGTGACTCACACCTGTAATCCCAGCACTTTGGGAGGCCGAGGCAGGCAGATCACGAGGTTAGGAGATTGAGACCATCCTGGCCAATATGGTGAAACCTGTCTCTACTACAAATACAAAACATTAGCTGGGCATGGGAGTGTGCGCCTGTAGCGCAAGCTACTCAGGAGTCTAAGGCAGGAGAATCGCTTGAACCAGAGCCAAGATCACGCCACTGCATTCCAGCCTCGGCGACAGAGTGAGACTCTGTCTCAAAAAAAAGAAAATGACACAGCTAGGAGATTCAGCCAGCCAGAGGGGCCCAGGCCCCCAACCTCAGAGTATGGGGTCGGGGTGGACTCTGGCAGGGGAACAAGGAAGGGCATCTATATGGTCCTCGGTAGCCATGGTGTATACGACCATTGGGGAGGCAGGGCTATATGACGAGGGTGGCCTGTGCCCTACTGGGCTGTCTGGGAAAAAAAGAATTGAGACAGTGGAACTAGGAGGAGGTGGTGGTGACCGGACCCAGCCATGCCACTCACCATGGACCAAGGGCCAAGCCCAGGGAGACTCAGAAGACCAGGCCAGGGAAGGCTGGAGCCCCAGGACATGGGCACCCAAGGTCCCTATGCAGTTGACAGAAGTAGAATCTGAGCCGAGTGCGGTGGTTTACGTCTGTAATCCCAACACTTTGGGATGCCAAGGCAGGCAGATCACTTGAGGTCAGGAGTTTGAGACCAGCCTGACCAACATGGAGAAACCCCATCTCTACTAAAAATACAAAATTAGCCAGGCATGGTGGCGTATGCCGGTAATCCCAGCTACTCGGGAGGCTGAGACCGGAGAATCTCTTGAACCCGGGAGGCAGAAGCTGTGGTGAGCCGAGATCACACCACTGCACTACAGCCTGGGCAACAAGCAAAACTCCGTCTCAAAAAAAAAAGGAAGTAGGAAAGGGAGCTCTGTGGATGACACAAGCAAGGACCCAGACCATGGGACAGGTGTGAGCTCCCAGCAAGTGAGCATGGGACGCAGGCTGGGGGAGGTCCCATGAGCTAGGAGTGAGCGGACATGGCTTCCCTTGCCCTTATCCCAAGCTGAGACCCCACACCATGCAGGCTGTGTTACAGCCTCAGTCCCAACCGGCAGGCAGGGATCTTGGCTCAGCAGTGGGCCACCTGCTGGACAAACCAAGTCAGGAGTTCCAACAAACACATCTCAAATGTGAACTCCCCCAAATCCCAGAAGGAACCCCCAACAGCATACTGTCAGAGATTGAGACCATCCTGGTCAACATGGTGAAACCCCGTCTCTACTAAAAATGCAAAAAAAATTAGTTGGGCGTGGTGGCACATGCCTGTAATCCCAGCTACTCGGGAGGCTGAGGCAGGAGAACTGCCTGAACCCAGGAGGCGGAGGTTGCGATGAGCCGAGATCGCGCCATTGCACTCCAGCCTGGGTAACAAGAGCGAAACTCCGTCTCAAAAAATATATATATATATTAAAACAGAGTTGTGGCCAGCATGATGGCGCAACCGTGTAATCCCAGCACTTTGGGACGCCGGAGAAGGAACACGTGAGGCCAGGAGTTCAAGACCAGCCTGGGCAACACAGCAAGATCCCGGCTCTGCTAAAAAAAGTGAAAAAATTGGCTGGGCCTGGTGGCTCATGCCTGTAATCCTAGCACTTTGGGAGGCGGGCGGATCACCTGAGATCAGGAGTTTGAGACCAGACTGGCCAACATGGTAAAACCCTGTCTCTACTAAAAGTGCAAAAATTAGCCAGGTGTGGTGCTACATGCCTGTAGTCCCAGCTACTCAGGAGGCTGAGGCAGGCGAATCACTTGAACCCAGGTGGCAAAGGTTGCAGTGAGCCAAGATGACACCACTGCACTCCAGCCTGGGCAACAGAGCAAGACTCCGTCTCAAAAAAAAAAAAGAAAAAAGAAAAAATTAGGTGTAGTAGCACACACCTGGGGTCCCAACTACACGGGAGGCTGAAGTGGGAGGATCACTGGAGCCCAGGACGCTAAGGCTGCAGTAAAAGCTATGACACCACCACATTCCAGCCTGGATGGCAGAGCAAGATCCTGTCTGTAAAACAAAATAATAATTTAAAAACTAAAAAATAAAACAATTCTCAAGAATCCAAAATATAACAGAGGCTCTCAAACTGTTAACAGGTACATAAACTGTCTCCCTAAGAAGTCACTCAAGTACTGCGTGTCACAACCCTACGGATGCTGGAACCCCAGTTTCTGTCTGTTCCTCGAACACTCATTCATGCATCCATCAAACCCCTGATGCCACACCCCAGGCTGGCTAGGCACCAAGGACACTGGAATCAGTAAGGCACAGTTAGGTCCCTCAATGACTTCAAATTGAAGGTTTCATGTTTGTCTATTCTCAAGACCTTCTATTCTTAGGAAATGACTAAAAACACCAGGAAGGTACAGTGCACCAAAAGACTGAATGCAACATTCTGAACACAAAAGATCTGAGAGGGAACAATCTCAAATGCCCACCAAGGGAATAGGAAACTGAACTATGGGACACGCTCTCAACAGAACATTTAAGGCCATTCAAAGAAATTATAAAGACTTAGCAAGAGCAAGGGGAAAGGACCCACACTGTAACATATGGGAAACTGCACGGAGATCCTACGGGCCCAAGATCTTACGTGCACCAAGGGCTCTGCAGGTAGAAGCAAACTGCACGGTAAAATGAATTAGGGAAACGACACAGAAGTACTCAGGGTACAGGCAAAACATAACGGTCCTTCTTTGTTCTCTTTTTCTGCATTTTACACATTTTTCTATGTGCACAATGGAAAAAGCAATAAACTAAGAAGGGCAGCCACAGCCCACAAGTTACAGAAAAAACAAACAGTGCGTGGAAGGCAGGGAGAGGTGAGGGTGCCAAGGAAGGTGGGAAGGGAGACACGGAGAAATGGAACGTCGGGGTAGATAGGCGGGAAAGGAAAGGGCTGGGGTAGGACCAGGACTTACCTTTGACGTCACTCAGCGACAAAGAGCGCTCCTGGTCTGCCAGTCCAGGCCCCAGCCGGCCACTGCCACCACTGTCTTTCTGCCGGGCCACGGCCACTGCAATGCCCACGGGCGGGTGTCGCACTTCTGCCTCACCCTGGGCACCAGAGCCCTCACGCCCAAAAGCCTTGGCACTCTCGGGCCTCTCGGGGTCCCGCTTCAGCTGCCGGCCGCCACCCGCTGCAGGGCCTCCAGGGTGTGGGAGTCGGGCCTGGGCTCGGGGAGTACCCGCAGAGGTGGGCGCAGGCTCAGGTTTCATGGTGCCCAAACCTCCAAAGGGGCTCTTCTTGCCACAGCCACCAGGGCGCACGGCCACAGCCTCCCGGGCGAAGCTGCCACTGTACTTTATAAGGCTCTGCATGGCCGAGGCCTCTCCAGGCCCATGGGCTGCAGAGTGCATGTCGGCAATGGGCCGGCCGCAGGTGGCCGCTGAGCGGGGCAGCACGGCCCCAGGATCCAGGTAGGCCTTCTTGGAGGAGGCGGCGGCAACCACAGCAGCCTCCTCCTCGGCGCGGCTGGCGTGGTGGTGCTGCGCGGCCAGCACGGCCATCTGCGTGGTAGCGAAGTTGCCCAGCTCGAAGGGTTTCCATTTGTGCTCAGGGCCCGCAGGCGGGGGGCGCCCGGGCTCCAGGCCGAAGAGCTTGGCGGCCTGTTGGGGCGCAGAACCGACTGGGCCGCGGGGTGCACGTTCGCAGGGCCGTGGATCGGCCTCTGGCTTGAGCAGCTCCTTGGTAGGTAGGTAGGCGCGGGGGTCTGGGGAGGTGCGTGCAGCTCGCACCGTGGGGGCGTCCGTGGGGGGCGGACGCTTGAGAGAGCGGATGACCGAGTTCTTCTCGCGCAGGCCCTCGGACCGGTCCAGAGGCCGCGGGGAGCCAGGGGGCGCCTGCAGGACCCCTGGCCTAACCGCCTCGCGCTCACGGGCCCGGGCATCGCGCGCCTGGGAGGCGATCTGTATGGGTCCCGGGCGCTCATCGAAGGCCTCCACAGAAGGCACGAAGGTGGGCGCCACCACGCGGTGCTCGCGGCCTGGCTCGCGGAAGACGGTGTAGACGCCAGCAGGGGTGGCCGCGGGGGGCGCCGGCGGCCCTTTGGGCGGCGCAGTCGGCGGAGGCAGCGGCGAGGGGCAGGGGCGTGGCCCGGGCAGCAGGGCCTCCGTGCGCCGCAGCAGCCGTGTGCCCTCGTCCTGCCGAGCGGTCTCCTTGGCGCCGCCGCGGCCCGCCTCGGCCACCAGCGCAGGCAGCCCCACGTCCCCGGCGCCGTTGCACAGGGTCAGCACCGACGGCTGCAGCGCCGCGTTCTTGGTCTTAGATTCAGCCAGGAATGGTGACAGGCGCTCGGCCAGGCGCGGGGGTCCACGGTCCTGGCGGCCCTCGGCACGCGCCTCCTGGGTCAGGTCCACCACGCCGCGTGGTCCCGCGGACTCCTCACCCCGTGCGCGTGGGTCCTTCTTGCCGAACAGCGGAGGAGGCTCCCCGCCACGACCCGCCCGCTCCTTGGCTGCACCGTCCCGCGACGACGAGCCTTTGGCCGGGGCACCTGAGGAGTGGCCGCTGCCAGGGGTTCGGGCGGAGGGCGCGTGAGAGTGCAGGGTGCCCGGAGCCCCAGCGGTGGGCAGGTAGAAGCCGTCTGCAGAGAAGGGAACCACAGTGAGGGAGCGCCACCTCCCACCCCTGCCTGGACAGAGGGGGACCCTGAAAGGGGGCTGGGCCAACCCTAGCCTCCTCCAGTGTTTTTCGTTTTTTGGAAATGGAGTCTTGGTCTTTTGCCCAGGCTGGAGGAGTGCAGTGGTGCAAACTCAGCTACTGCATCCTCCACCTCCCAGGTTCAAGCAATTCTCCTGCCTCAGCCTCCCAAGTAGCTGGGGTTATAGGCACACACCCTCCAGCTAATTTTTGTATTTTTAGTAGAGATAGGGTTTCACCATGTTGGTCAGACTGGTCTCCAACTCCTGACCTCAGGTGATCCACCCACCTCTGCCTCCCAAAGTGCTCGGATTAAAGGCATGAGCACTGTGGCCAGCAGTGTTTTCTTTTTCTTGGAAATAAAACTGTTTTGGTGCAGGGAGCCCCACGGTTTCACACCAAGGAAAGGTATCCCCTCAGGGCAAGAAGAAAGGAAATGGACAGTCCAGCCCTTGAGAATGCAGGCTCTGGAAATGTCTAGAACTAAGTTTAAATCTACCCTTCCTGAGCCTCAGTTTCATCATCTGTAAAAGGGGAGGCTGAGGGTTGTTTTCAGAGCTGCCCAGAAGGCCTAGCAGGGCCCCTCAGAGTAGAGTGTGACTAGAAGGCACCCAGGGCTGTGGGTGGGCCTAGGGAGCCTTCGGGGAAAGCTTAGGAACTCAGGTCTCAAAAAAGCATCTTAGGCCACAATGGCTCACACCTGGAATCCCAGCACCTCGGGAAGCCAAGGCAGGAGGATTGCTTGAGGCCAGGAGTTTGAAACCAGCCTGGGCAACACAGCAAGACTTCAGCTCTATAAAAAGTTTAAAAAGTCAGTTGGGTGTAGTGGGGGCTGAGGTAGGAGTATCATTTGGGAGTTTGAGGCTGCAGTGAGCTATGATCACACCACTGCACTCCAGCCTGGGCAACACAATGAGACCCTGTCTCAAAAAGAAAAAAAAAGCAAGCATCCTGGACAGAGCTGGGGGCTGCCTGGATGCCACCAAGGGCCACAGAAGCTTCTCAGAAGACTCCTGTGCCACCCATCCCCCACCCCCACCCACCCCCGTCCTGGACCCCCCAGTCTTACCTCCTCCTGGCCCCTGACCTTTCTGGGTATCAAAAATGCTGGGCTGACCCAGCTGGCTGAGGAGGGGGCTCCCGCTGCTGGGGGGCTCCAGGTGGTTCAGGTGGAGGTAGGATGGGTACAGCCCGCTGGGCAGGTGGGAGTAGCCTGTAAGAAAAGAGAGAAAAGCTGGACCTGGCCAATGCAGCCGCCCACCAGGAGCTTCCCTCCAGCTCCTGGAGATAAACTACTTTGGCAGCAGACCGCTGGTGCAGGGAGCCTTGAGGTTTCCAGCAGCTCCCCAGGGCAATGCATTCCCCCACTCCCCAACCCTGGGCCTCTCCCCAGGCCCACCCAGTCCCCCCAAGAAGAGGATCAGAATGGATCCAGCTAGCAGGGGCCAATGACAGCTTAGCAAGCATGACCGAGAGCTTTGCCACTGTCATCCTCATTTAAACGTCCAAAATAACCTAGGAGGAAGAGGCTTCATGTCCTCGTTTTAAGGACGAGAAAACTTAGAGAAGACCACTTGCCCGAGATGATACAGCAGAAGAGCCTGGCTTTGAATCCAGGTCATCTGACCCTGCAGCCAGGACTCTTGAATTCAGCCTAACATGGGCCCTTTCTCTGCTGTGTGACCTTGGGCTGGTCACTTGCCTTCTCTTACCCTAAGTGGACCCCGAATCTTCAGCTGCTCCATCTCCCAAGCAGAGGTTGCCAGGAAAGAATTCCTCCCACCAAGGATCCCCCTGCCCCCGGCCTCCCCAAAGGCCCCCACCAGCAATGGAACTCCAGGCCTCAAGCGATCCGCATGCCTGCCTCAGCCTCCCAGGGTGCTGGGATTACAGGCACAAGCCACCTCGCCTGGCCCAGAATTTTTTAAAAATAGAAATAAACACGGGCCGGGCGTAACGGCTCACGCCTGTAATCCCAGCACTTTGGGAGGCCAAGGGATGGATCATGAGGTCAGGAGTTCGATATCAGCCTAGCCAACATAATGAAACCCTGTCTCTAATAAAAATAAAAAAATCATCCAGGTGTGGTGGAAGGCACCTGTAATCCCAGCTACTCCGGAGGCTGAGGCAGGAGAATCGCTTGAACCTGGGAGGCGGAGGTTACAGTCAATCAAGAGCATGCCACTGCCCTCCAGCCAGGGTAACAGTGCAAAACTCCATCTTAAAAAATAATAATAAACAAGGCCGGGCACGGTGGCTCAAGCCTGTAATCCCAGCACTTTGGGAGGCCAAGGCGGGTGGATCACAAGGTCAAGAGATCGAGACCATCCTGGTCAACATGGTGAAACCCTGTCTCTACTAAAAATACAAAAAATTAGCTGGGCATGGTGGCACGTGCCTGTAATCCCAGCTATTCGGGAGGCTGAGGCAGGAGAATTGCCTGAACCCGGGAGGCAGAGGTTGCGGTGAGCCACGATTGTGCCATTGCACTCCAGCCTGGATAACAAGGGCAAAACTCCATCTCAAAAAATAATAATAATAATAATAATAATAAACAGAATCAGGGCCTTGCAGGACAAAAGAAGGAAGGGGTAGCCACCAGAGAAGTCACCGAAGAGAGCACACAGAAGCTAGGCATGGTGGCTCACATCTTTAATCCCAGTGCTCTGGGAGGCCAAAGCGGGAGGACTGCTTGAGCCCAGGGGTTTGAGACCAGCCTGGAAAACGTAGCAAGACCTGATCTCTATATAAAGAAATTTTAAATAATACATATTTTTAAAGGGCACACAGAATGGCAGCCCAAGAGGTAGGCGGGTGCTAGGGTGCTGGGTAAGGGTCCTGACTACTGCCCGAGCTCAGAGTCCTATGGGATCCCAGGCCTACTGGAGATCTCTCAGGGGTTCATGTGCTCCATACCCAGTGGGCCCTGCTTAGCCAGGGATGCAGGACCTGCAGCTGGCCCACTGGGCCAATGACTTCTACCCAGCACCGCCTTGTCAATCATGCCATGACAACACCCACAAAGAAAAAGGCCACCTGATACCAGTTCTCATCCAATCATTCAAACAGCACTCCCAAGCCAGGTGCCATGGCTCACGCCTGTAATCCAAGCATTTTGGGAGGTCAACTCAGGTGGATCACTTGAAGTCAAGAGTTCAAGACCCACCTAGCCAACGTGGTGAAATCCCATCTCTACAATAAATACGAAAATTAGCCAGGTGTGGTGGCATACACCTATAATCCCAGCTACTCGGGAAGCTGAGGCAGAAGAATCACTTGAACCCGGGAGGCAGAAGTTGTAGTGAGCAGAGATCGAACCACATTGCACGACAGCCTAGGTGACAGAGCGAGACTCTCTCTAAAAAAGATACAACCCACCAGGCAGTGGCTTATGCCTGTAATCCCAGCACTTTGGGAGGCCAAGGTGGGCAGGTCACAAGGTCAGGAGTTTGAGACCAGCCTGGCAACATGGTGAAATCCCATCTCTACTAAAAATTAGGCAGGCATGATGATATGCGCCTATAATCCCAGCTACTCAGGAGGCTGAGGCAGAAGAATCACTTGAACCCAGGAGGCGGAGATTACAGTGAGCCAAGATCACACCACTATACTCCAGCCTGGATGACAGAGTGAGACTCCTCCTCAAAAGAAAGAAGGAAGAAAGAAAGAGAGAGAGAGAGAGGGAGGGAGGGAGGGAGGGAGGGAGGGAGGGAGGAAAGGAAGGAAGGAAGGAAGGAAGGAAGGAAGGAAGGAAGGAAGGAAGGAAGGAAGGAAGGAAGGAAGGAAGGAAGGGAAAAGAAAAGAAAAGAAAAGAAAAGAAGGAAGGAAGGAAGGAAAGAAAAGAAAAGAAGGAAGGAAGGGCACGCGCGGTGGCTCATACCTGTAATCCCAGCACTTTGGGAGGCCGAGGCAGGCGGATCACAAGGCCAGGAGTTTGAGACCAGCCTGGCCAACACGGTGAAATCCCATCTCCAGTAAAAATACAAAAATTAGCTGGGCGTGGTAGCGGGTGCCTGTAATCCCAGCTACTCAGGAGGCTGAGGCAGAATCACCTGAATCCAGGAGGCAGAGGTTGCAGTGAGCCAAGATCGCACCACTGCACTCCAGCCTGGGTGACAGAGTGAGATGCCTCCTCAAAAAAACAAAACCAGCACTTTTACACAGGCATCAGGTCTCTGCTCTCCCATCTGTAAAATGGACCTAATGGGCTTACTAGGCCAGGCACAGTGGCTCATGCCTTTAATCCCAGCATTTTGCAAGGCCAAGGCAGGATGATACAAACCTGGGAAACATGGTGAAACCCCGACTCCACCAAAAAAAATACAGTAGTTAACCAGGTGTGATGATGTACACCTGTAGTCCCAGCTACTCAAGAGGCTGAGGTGGGAGAAGCTCTTGAGCCTGGGAGGCGGAGGTTGCGGTGAGCTGAGATTGCACCACTGCACTCCAGCCTGGGCGACAGAGCAAGACCCTGTCTCAAAAAAACAGGCCTCACAGTCCCTCTCCAGGTAGGGCTGGTTCTGAGACTGAAGTGAGCAGCGCATGCACTCAAATGAGGTAAGCACCCTGTGTGTTTGTGGTCATTACTAGGATTTGCTGGCCAAAGAGAAAAGGAAGTCTCAGAGAGACAGAGGTAGCCAGCTGGGGGCAGACAGGCACGAGAGGCAGGCTCTGCTTGTCCAGACCCTGTGGCGCCCGCCTTGCCTGGTTAAAGTGGGAGGCTCAGGTGGAAACCCAGCCTAGAGGGCACCCTCTGTGCAGGCTGCGCACCCTGGTTCCTGTATTCAGATGCCTTCCCCAAAGTGCTCAGAAGGAGCAGCCTCACTGGCCTCATCTGTGCAATGGGCAAAGCACTGTAAGAACGGGAGGGGTCCTGTAGCTGGGGACGCGAGTGCCCACAGGACATCTGGGAGGAGGGAGGAGGTACCTAGCACCCAACATCTAGAACCTGTCAAAGCCAGAGGTGGGGGAGGAGCTGAGGTCCCCAGACCCATTCCTTTGCAGAGAGAATGAAAGAGAGGCTCTAGAAAAATCCAGAATCCACTCACAGCCCTAGGGAAGCCAGCCCCAGGCCCCCCTATACTGCAGGAATTTTTTTTTTTTCAGAGACAGGGTCTCGCTATGTTACCCAGGCTGGTCTCCAACACCTGGCCTCAAGTGATCTTCCCACCTCAACCTCCCAAAGTGTTGGTATTACAACTGTGAGTCACCATGCCCGGCCTGCTCCTGTCATTATTAATGAGCCTACTGTGCACCAGGGATCCAGTGCTGAGTAGATCAAACCTGCACTCAGAGCACTCCAGTGGGAAAGTGGGTAGATCACCAATTATCAGGTAATCTGTTGTCACGAGTGATGGAAAAGAAGCGGGGAGGAACGGGGTCTCTGAGCTGAGCCAGAGGAGGCATGGGTGGTGGCCTGGGGCAGGGTGTCAGGCTCAAAGGAGAGAGAATGGCTCATGCAAAGGCCCTGTGACAGTGACAAGAGGAAGCCCTAAGTGTTTGAGGAACGATAGAGAGGCCAGGTGACCTGGGGCCCACTAGCCCCAGCTCACTCAGGGATGACCATAAAGGGCCACATGAAGTTGCCCGAGTGTCCGGGACAGCGCCCCAGCAGCCCTCAGCCCCAACCCTGGTGCGCTCCTTACCTTCATGGGCGTGGGCGGCCCACAGCTGCACCATGGGCAGGTTGCTGGGGGTGGGGGAGCGGAAGGAGAGGTCAGAGGGCAGTGGCACCGGGCTTCCCTGGGACGAGGCCGAGGGCCCCATCCCGCTGGCCACAAAGCTGCCCAAGAAGGCCTCGCCTGCAGAGAGAAGTTGGGAGAACTGTCAGGCAGCTAACCAGGCCAGGAGACCAAAGAGGGTTTCCCTGCCCCAGCCCCACCCCAGACCACAGGAGGGGCCTGGGTCAACTCAATCAGACCCAGGGCTTGAGGAAGCACAAGACGGCAGGAAGCCCCCCAAGAAGTCCCCCACAGCAGACCCTCAGCCCTGGGCACCTTTGGAGTAGGGCCTGCCACCCCTGACGCCAGGCAGCCCAGATGCAGCACGGCACCATTCTCCCCATCTGCAGAATCCTAAGGTCGCCTTGCCCTGTAGCCTCTGGAAGTCCCACAGCACTGGGACTTCAAGAGGCCACAGGGCAAGGCGGTGGGGATCTCACAGGTGGGGGCTCGTGTTCGGCGCTCTGCAGGCCCAGAGAGGACACCCACTCTGGGGCCAGAGAAGGACTTCCCACAGCAGCCCTAGCCAGCCCCATGTGCCCATTTAACAGACGACGCAGCGGAGGCTCAGGGTTGGGAAGTGCCAGGTCACACAGCTGGGAAGCAGTGACTTAGAATGCAGCCCCACAGGGTGTCCCCGAGTCCACTGCTGGCACCACCAAGCCACAGTGTCTTAGGGAACGACTCCGTGAATGAACGGAACAGCAGGCATGGGAGCCGCAAAGGGAGCCCCATCCAGGCAACCCCTCCAGCCAGCAGGCTTCATGCACCCTGGGTCCCTGCCAACAGGAGCCACAGGACTGACTGCTGCTCAGAAAGATGATGGACATCAGCTGGGGCCTGGGTGCAGGCCGCAGCCAGCACCACCATGCCCCACATGGCCAGGTCCTTATCAGACAGGGCACCTCCCAGCTGCCCCCCTAGAGCTAGGGGCTCTGTCCCACAAGCCCCAAACGCCACCCCCTGTAAGGAAAGACCCTGGCAGGCCTCTGGGTCACAGGTCAGAGAGAAACATGCAGGAGCTGGGGAAGAGGTTGCCCTCACCAGCCTCACCGGGTCTCAGTTTGCACATCAACAAAATGGGGATAAAAATGCCTTCTTTTGGGAATGATAGAGAAGGAAGCATGTGTTTAACCACAGTAATAATATAATGACAACTAATAACAGGCCAGGCAAGATGGCTCTCGCCTACAGTCTCCGGAGGTTGAGGCAGGAGGATGGCTTGAGGCTGGGATTTGGAGGCTGCAGTGAGCTGTGACTGCAGTTATAACACTGCACTCCACTCCAGGCGACAGAACAAGACCTGGACCCAAAATATAAATAATAACAATAACCAGCCACGGCACCTGTTCACTAGAAGCTGGCAGGCACCAGGCACTGTGCAGGTGACTTAAAATCCTCCCAGCAATGCCCTCAGGAGGTGGCGGCAAAGAGCCCCCAGCCGAGGGATTCTGTGGGTACCCTAGAGCCACCACCCTAGAGCCACCATCCCTTTAAGCCACTGTTTACAGGTGGCACGGAGAAGGTAGGTGGCTTTGTAGGAGATGCAGGCTCCCAGGTGGCCCTGGTCCAGCCTGTGGGGGCTGAGAGACCTTGGCCCCACCTCTGGGTCCCCAGTACCCTCCTCCTCCCCCACAAAGGGCCAGCATACAAGTGCTCACTGACCGCCTCCCAGGGGCACAGGATCCCAGAATGTCCAACCCAGCTTCTTTGGGGTACATGTGTGGAAACCGAGGCAGAGAAGGGCAGGGCCTCTACCTTGGGCCCCAGAGTAGAGATTGGAGTGGGCAGAGCAGCAGGGGGTGCCCTCTGGCCACATGCCCCATCACCACCGCCCCGTGTCTGGCCCCCACACTCCAGTCTAGCCTGGCCCAGCCCCCTCACCGGACTCCAGCGCAAAGCCCTCGGGCCCCAGGGCCTTGGTGGCCGGTCAGTCCATCCATGCAGCCCGAGCTGGGGCAGCAGGGCCTCCAAGCCCCGCCAAGCCCCAGGCTTCCGCCTTGCTGTGGCAGGCAGGTGGGTAAAAGGCTCCGGAAGCCGGCAGCCAGGGGTTTGCGCAAGAGCTTACATCAGCCACCGGCTCTTCCTGCCCCAGGCTGCACGGAAGCCTAGCGGCCCAGGCCAGCCCCTGCCTGGGCTTGTGAAACCCGCCCAACACTACCCAGGCCCGGATGCCAGCCAACGGCTCTGCCCACCACAAGGGCTCAACGTTGCCCAAAGCCCCTCCTCCTGAGCTGGGTGGGGCAGCCGGGAATCCCCAGCATCCCCAGCAAGTCAGCGTCTTCTCAGGGCCTCAGTTTGCAACTCTCCAAAATGGACACACAATCCCTACTCACCTAGGACCATGAGGCCAGTGCCCCCACTCTCCACCTCACTCTCCAGTACAAACGTCCCCCTGGTCACGTCCACATGCCCGGCCCTCTTTCCCGCATGGCCCCTCAGGCACAGCTCCTAAATTCTCCTAGACCCCTCCTCCTTCACTCCCTCCTCCAGCCTCCGTGGGCCCCAGAGAAGCACCCAACAGCCACAGGCCCCAAAGGACTCTGATAACCCACAACCCCTCAGAAACAGATCTCTACCGTCCTTGTGTATTTCATGCCTCTGTCTCCCCCAAAAGACAGTTCCCTCCCTGAGGGCGGGGACTCTCCCCTACACAGCGCCTGGGACCTGCCACCCAGGACATGCTTCTGTTTGGGATTACCTGACCATATAAATGCTGTTTCTTTTCTTTCTTTTTTTTTTTTTTTTGTAAGACAGGGTTTCACTATATTGGTCAGGCTGGTGTTGAACTCCTGACCTCCGGTGATCTGCCTGCCTCAGCCTCCCAAAGTGCCGGGATTACAGGCATGACCTACCGCACCCAGCTGTTTTTCTTCTTTTTAGAGACAGGGTTTCGCTCTCTTCACGCAGGCTGCAGTGCAGTGGCTCAATCACAGCTCACTGCAGCCTCCAACTCCTGAGCTCAATCATCCTCCAGCCTCAGCCTCCTGGGTAACTGGGACCACAGGCACCCACCATCACACCCAGCTAAATTTTTTTGTTTGTTTTTTGGGATTTGGCTATGTTGCCCAAGTTGGTCTCAAATTCTAGTCCTCAAGCAATCCTCCCACACCTTGGCCTCCCAAAGTGCTGAGATTACAGGCGTGAGTGAGCCACCACACCCAGACTCTTTTAAGAGACACGGTTGCCGGCGCGGTGGCTCACGCCTGTAATCCCAGCACTTTGGGAGGCTGAGGCAGATGGATCACGAGGTCAAGAGATCGAGACCATCCTGGTCAACATGGTGAAACTCCAACTCTAGTAAAAATACAAAAAATTAGCTGGGCATGATGGTGCACGCCTGTAATCCCAGCTACTCGGGAGGCTGAGGTAGGAGAACTGCCTGAATCCAGGAGGCGGAGGTTGTGGTGAGCTGAGATCGTGTCATTGCACTCCAGCCTGGGTAACAAGAGCAAAACTCCGTCTCAAAAAAAAAAAAGAAAAAAAGACAGTCTTCCTCTATTCACCCAGACTGCAGTGCAGTGGCTCAGTCACAGCTCACTGCAGCCTCCAGCTCCTGAACTCAATCAATCCTCCAACCTCAGCCTCCTGGGTAGCAGGGACCACAGCCACACACTACCACAACCAACTAATGGTCATGTTACCCAGGCTGGAGTACAATGGCGCAATCTCGGCTCACCGCAACCTCCACCACCTGGCAATTCTCCTGCCTCAGCCTCCTGAGTAGCTGGGATTACAGGCACGCGCCACCATGCCCAGCTAATTTTTTGTATTTTTAGTAGAGATGGGGTTTCACCATGTTGACCAGGATGGTCTCGATCTCTTGACCTCGTGATCCACCCGCCTCGGCCTCCCAAAGTTCTGGAATTACAGGTGTGAGCCACCGCGCCCAGCTCTAAAATTTTATTTTTATTTTTTTAGAGATGGGATCTTGCTACATTGGCCAGCCTGGTCTCAAACTCCTGGCTTCAAACGATCCTCCCACCTTAGCCAAAAAATCACCTCGCCATAAATGTGATTTCTTTTTTGTTGCTCTGTCACCCAGGGTGAAGTGCAGTGGCACAATCTTGGCTCACTGCAACCTCCACCTCCAGGGATCAAGTGATTCTCCTGCCTCAGTCTCCCGAATAGCTGGGACTACAGGCATGCACCACCCATTACAGGTGATTCTTTTTCATAGTCAGGATCTCACTATGTTGCCCAGTCTGGTCTAGAACTCCTGGGCTCACGCAACCCTCCCACCTTAGCCTCCCAAAGGGCTGAGATGACAGACCTGGGCCACGGTGCCTGGTCTGTGATTCTTGTTACTATTTATGGTTCCAAACCCTGGAACTCAGAGAAGCTAAGCACAGACTACAAGGTCACAGTCTGCATGGGGCCACTCGCCTCTACCCAAATGCCATTTGTTCTTGCTTAAAATAAAAATTCAATTTTGAAACCACAGACAGCTGGTGACTACACAGGATCAATGTACCAAATACCACTGAAGTGTATACGTTTCAAATGGTTAATTGGATACCATGTGAATTTCATCTCCATAAAAAAAAAAAAAATGCAAGCTCTAGCTGGGCATGGTGGCTCACACCTATAATCTCAGCACTTCTGAAGGCCAAGGTAGGCAGATCGCTTGAGCTCAGGAGTTCAAGACCAGCCTGGGCAACAAGGTAAGACTCCGTCTCTACAAAAAGAATACAAGGCCGGGCGCGGTGGCTCACGCCTGTAATCCCAGCACTTTGGGAGGCCGAGGCGGGTGGATCACGAGGTCAATAGATCGAGACAATCCTGGTCAACATGGTGAAACCCCGTCTCTACTAAAAATACAAAAAATTAGCTGGGCACAGTGGCGTGTGCCTGTAATCCCAGCTACTCAGGAGGCTGAGGCAGGAGAATTGCCTGAACTCAGGAGGCGGAGGTTGCGGTGAGCTGAGATCGCGCCATTGCACTCCAGCTTGGGTAACAAGAGTGAAACTCCATCTCAAAAAAAAAAAAAAAATACAAAAAAATTAACCGAGCATGGTGGTTACGCCTGGAACCCAGCTACTCTGGAGGCTGAGGTGGGAGGATCGCTTGAGCATAGGAGG